CCTTAGGGGGAGGCGGACAGGGCCGCGGGGGCCTCTCTGCGTCGCGCAGCGCGCCAAAGCCGGGCTCCGCCCACCTCCTCGCCCGCGGCCCCAGGGTTGGGGCGCTGAGCCGCGGGTGTTCTTTAAGCACCACCTTCTCACGGGGCGCGGGCTCCCAAGGCCTTGGGCCTGGGGTGCTGGACTCGGACTGGGAGGGAGCGGTACCCCCGGGACAAGGACAAAGATTAGCGTGGCCCGGGACACCCCGGGCTAGGATTGGCGCAGGCGGAGCTGCAGGGACTGCGCCAGGGTGGAGAGGGCCGCACGCAGGAGCCGCCGCTTAAGCCCCGCCCGGCAGCGTTAATTTTAAACTGCGCGACCGTTTTCTCGGCTCCTTGCGCCGAGGTGGGGGGCCGGACCTAATTCCAGACGTAGTAACACGCCGGCCGCGAGCCTTCCGCAATTCACCGAAGCCCGCTGCGCAAGTGACGTAACGCGGCCTCCCTAATCAGACACGGGGGAGGCGCACGGATTCGGCGTAAGGGGCGTGGAGGCCCTTCCCGCCATTGGCGGCGGTTAGGACGTTTACGTAACGGCCTGACGTCAGCGAAGACGCGTTAGTGGGGGGAAGGTTCTAGAAAAGCGGCGGCCCCGGCTCCAGCGGCAGAAGCAGCGGCGCCGGCTCCGGTGTGCAGGTGTTTCCAGCAGCGCGGTTTTGCGAGCGGCGGCTGCTCTCTCTCCCTCCCCAACCCCCAGCGTCAGGACGAGTCCGGTGCGTGCGCGTCCGCGGAGATCTTTCTCGTCTCGCTCGGCTGCGGGGAATCGGGCTGAAGCGACTGAGTCCGCGATGGAGGTAACGGGTTTGAAATCAATGAGTTCTTGGAAAGGGCATGGCGAGGCCGAAGGCGCCGCAGCGGAAGCAGACCATCCGCCTCCGCGGGCGGGCGGGCGAGCGGAGGGAAAGCGGCCGCTCGAGTGGCGGTTGGCTTTGGGGACTCGGGGGATGGGTCGTTGGCGGAGGCCCGATTGTCCGGACGCCTTCCCCGCCCTTAGCCGCTCGGCGCCATTTCCCTGAGCCGGGGTGGGGGATGGGAGCCCGCCACGGCGAGGCGGCCGGGTCGCGGAAACGGCGCGGGGTCGGGCCGCCGTCGGTTCTTCTCGAAGGGCGCGGGCCCAGGGAGCGGGCTGTGTGGGCGGCGGAGCGTTTTCGGCAGCCCCCGGGTCCCCGGAACGGGTCTGCGGAGCCTCCCCTCCCCCCTCCCTCCCGGGAACCGGATTTGGCGTCCGCCATTTTCCCGTCTCCTTCCTCACTGCGATTTTTGCGTTCCACACTTTTAAGGCCTCCCAGTTTGCTCCCTTTTACCGCCGCCCAGGACAGGCTCGCTGTTTTTCTTTGTTTTCGGCGCGGTTTCATCTCGTTTCGAGGTGGATTTCGGGGATTTTGAGCTTGGATCCTAGAGTCCTGCGCACAACGTTAAGGGCTCCCTGCCTTCCCCTCGACGAAATGGCGCCATTGCGTTGAGCAGGCACACGGCGGAGCGGGTGGGGGTGGAGGCTCTCCACAAGGCTTGCTGGCGCAGGCCTGGACAACAGCGCGAGCGCGGCCCGAGCCTGTTGCTGAATTGCTCCAAAGCAACCATTTTATCTTTCCTAGCCGCTGAATTCGATTAATGAAAGGCTTTATGAGCCCGCAGTGGTAAAGCACATGAACGGCAGGAAGTTGAGACTGCTCGGTTCTGGTAGTTCGATTCTGTAAGCTCGGGCGGAGGGGTATTATTTTCCATTTTAATTGCAGCGTAAGTTTATCCCAAAGGATCCTTTGGTTTGAAATAATGAGGATTCTGAGCTTGGGGTTTGTTGCTTAAACTGCAACAGGATTCTTACACGTGTAATAGCCACGTTAGACAAGTGAATAACGTACTTATTTTTTTACCTTTTGCTTAAAGCGCCCTGCTCAGTCAACATTAATCCATGAACTAGCTATATAAAAAGTTTCAGATCTGAACCACAGTGTATTTGAACTTTGTCATTTGCTTTTTTGATTTGTGTTTGTGATCATGGTTGATCATTACATTGATAAGATAAGGTTTCAAGTTGAGGGGGTCTGCTTCGCTATTTTCTTTGACCCTTAGCATGTTTATAACATAACCTTGTTTATAATCGATAGTGGACGTCGGGTAAGTTTGGAAAAACCTATGAGGTAAGTAATGAGCTTTTGCTTTTTACAATTTAAGTTAAAGAGGTATATTTATTGGTATTTAAATACAACTACCTAGACACTTCATTTCCAGTCATTTTAAGTAATTAAAACGAATGTTTAAAACGTCGTATTTGAATCTTTAACCTATTGATATTTCTATTTTTCTTCAAATAACAGAACCTGAGAAGAGCAGTAAACAATTTCTTTTTGAGAGTATTTTGAGAGAACCTTAAAGATTTGGATTGAGTGATAAGAGTTGTGGAATTTTTTTTGTAATTACAGTTTTGTCTTCAGTTATGTCATCAAGATAGGTCTTGAATAGTATAACCTAGATTATGAACATCTTGACTTTTTTTAAAGCTTAGTTCTTTATAAGCCAGTACGTAATAAACAGCACTTCAATTAATAGTTATTTCAGGCTTTTTTTTGGAAATTTTTGAGAAAACCACTTTATTCCATGAATTGTCCGAAGGCTAGTAAATTGCTTTAATTAAAAACAGCCACAAAGTTTTCTTTTTAAGTGAATTTGGGGCAGTGGTAACTGTAGATAAATGTGCTTTTTAGTTTTTTTCTGTAGCCTAAATAACCAGAGCAGTGCTTCCTCAAACCACAGTGCTTAAACCTTTCGCACTTCAGATGGTGATGGCTACAGGCATAGATTTTTCTAAGTTAAAAGAAAACTATTTTAAGGTTTTTGTTTTTTAAACTTTTGTGGAGCTTGTTTCAGTGTTGCAGCCTTCTCCTCCCCCCACCCCATACTTAATTTAATACATACCCGAGGGGGCAGTTCAAGTCTGCCCCTATTTCAGAGGCTGATTCCTGAAGTAAGTGGTGGATTGTGGAAACAGTAGGGGGCTTTTTTGGTTTTTTTCCCCAGTTAAGTAATTTTAGTAAATTTTGTAGACTTTAATGAAGAATTTCATAAGACTTTTTTTGATGCCCCTTATAAATGACCTCAGAGTTGAGTATGGTTTTTCTCAAAGATTTTGAAGAAAGTCTGCTAAGTTTATGTGAATTAAAGTTAGATCAAATATTAGTGACATTAAAACTTGTATAGTTCAGCTGAGGGCATTTTTTTGGTGTAACACAACTAATATGCAGTTTAACATATGGTTTAAATTTGATGTAAGTTTTTTTTTCCCCCCCCAGAAAACTTTAGAAACTGTTCCTTTGGAGAGGAAAAAGGTACTCTGCCAGCAGGTCACCTCATATTTAAGAATTTAATTTCCAGCATACAAAGAGAAAATGTAAATAAAAATTGAAATGGTATTTTCCTTTGCAGAGAGAAAAGGAACAGTTCCGTAAACTCTTTATTGGTGGCTTAAGCTTTGAAACCACAGAAGAAAGTTTGAGAAACTACTACGAGCAATGGGGAAAGCTCACAGACTGTGTGGTAGGTTACTTCTGAAAGTTTTGCTGCGGGTTCTAGTCTTACTGAACTTATGCATACATTTTGGGTTGAGTCGTATAGAAAACAAGTATTAAAAATAAAGACTTTCTAATTGGTATTACTAGTTATAATACTAGTAAATTAAATGCTAACATGTTTTTGGTTTAAAGGTTATGAGAGATCCTGCAAGCAAAAGATCAAGAGGATTTGGTTTTGTAACTTTTTCTTCCATGGCTGAGGTTGATGCTGCCATGGCTGCAAGGCCTCATTCCATTGATGGCAGGGTAGTTGAACCAAAACGTGCTGTAGCAAGAGAGGTAAGTAAAATATGTTGTGGAATTTTTTCTTGGGGTTTTGGTTGTGTTAGATTTTTGCACCTGTCTTTTAAAGGCTAACGTTGTTGCTTTATATGAAGAAATTTGATGTTAAGATAGAAGTATAAGATGTAGTATCAAGGTGAATAATTTGTAGCTTTTCTCTCAGCATAACTCCTATAATTATCTGTTGTAGGAGTCTGGAAAACCAGGAGCCCATGTGACTGTGAAGAAGCTGTTTGTTGGTGGAATTAAGGAAGATACTGAGGAACACCACCTTAGAGATTACTTTGAAGAATATGGGAAAATTGATACTATTGAAATTATTACTGATAGGCAGTCTGGAAAGAAAAGAGGCTTTGGATTTGTTACTTTTGATGACCATGATCCTGTGGATAAAATTGTATGTAAGTGTCCAGGCACAGGAGGTGTGGTTTGTATATATAAACAGTTGGGTATATTAACAGCTTGTTAAAACATTCAGAATTGTTTACTATTAGAATGTAT